CAGCCCTCCATCTCACTCAGCTGCAGCCTCGGCTGGTTTTCATAGCCAGGGGTTATGGGGACTTCTCTTCTCAGTGCTGGCACCCTGGACTGGGGATCCCAATGTGGGGCCAGGACCCCTCACTCCTCTGGTGGGGGGGAGGACTCTGCATTCAAAATAACCCTCCCGATTCTTGATCACCACACTTGGTTGTGGGACCACGCCCTTTCCTGTCTCCACCCCTCCTCCCAGTTTGAGATGACTTCTTATTTTTATCCCTAGTTGTAGGGCTTCTGTTCAGCCAGACCTCAGGCAACTCTGTGTGCTGGTTGCTCTGTAGTTTTGTTATAATTTTGGTGTGGTGGCGAGAGGAGGTGTACACAGCTTCTACCTTTTACGCCGTCTTGAGCAGTCTCTCATAACTTGGAATTCTTAAGCTTTTGTTGTGAGGGGAGAACAACCTGTTTTCCTTGGCAAGTGTGCAACTTAGCTGCTAGAATTCTTTTTTAGAACGAGTACCTTATGCATTTTTATTGGTTGCTCATCTTTGTGGCAGGGGGTTGCATATGTTTGTCTAATGTCATTCGTCCAACAATCCATATGAGTCATAAATCCAATTAATTTTTTCATAATCCTTTTAAATGTATTAGCTATGTAATCTTGAGCAGTTTGCCTGATCTTAGTTTTCCTATCTGTAAAATGGAGATAAAGGTCCCTATCAGATTTGGTTCTATGAAGATGAAATGAGATTATATGGGTTAGCATAGCGTCTGATATGTAGTTAGTGTCTAGTGAATTTCAGCTGCTGCTTTTATCCAGTATTCTTTTAAAAAATGTAATATACTCTCTGGGCATTTGTTTTCTTTAAAGAATAATTGCTATTATTCCCTGCCTTTTTACCGGGACATCCTTTGCTGTGGTTTCAGATTCAAAAGCTTGGAAGCTGTATTACAGATCCAGGTAGTCGAGAGACCTCAGGAAATACCGTGCACACAGTGTTTCACCGCGACAAGACCAAAGATGTTCATCCTGAAAGCTGTTGCAGCTCTGAAAAGGGTGGGCAGCCACTGCCTTGGTTTGAGCATAGGAAAAATGTACCACAGTTTGCAGAACCTACAGAAACAACATTTGGTCCTGATTCCGGAAAAGGTGCCAAGAGCTTAGTTGAACTCCTTGTAAGTAAGCCATAATGTCTTACTATGGATAACCAATTGTTCATGGGGTAGATGTGGGAGGGGATGGATTTTTGAGGGTTCAAAGTTGGGAGTAGGGGAAGGCTTTTAAGAAGATAGGGGCAGTATTTCATTGGTTTTTGGTGACTTCATTTCTCTTCTACTAGTGGTTTATACACCTCCTTTGGAACACATTTCCCTGTCCTCCTTTGTCTCAAGGAGACTAGTTGGGAGATGGGGGTTGAGTTAGCATTATGTCCAGGAGTTGGCCTCCTTGAAGAGGAAGGTTATTGTAAGCAAACTGCTTTTATAGTAGCAATTTATAATAGCCACCCTTCTAGACCAAGAAATAATATAGATTCTGAACCAGAGCCTACTTTCTAGGTTTCTTCCTTTAGGTATCATATAAGATAAAAGCATAACTGAACTTGGAAAACCTTTTATAGTTGATTTCAATTCTTGATACTTGAGATGAATTATACCTGATTCCAAGTGTCCCAGTTCAGAGTTTGTGTAAGGCTTGAATGAGGGGGAAGGAAGGAGAAGGATGGTGTCTTTTCTGTAGTAATTAGGATCCTAATGGAGCCAAATCCTTTAGAATACTTGTTTTTTCTTTTTTACATGGTTATAAAGTTTAATGGTATTGTCGTATAACTTATTTCATAAGTTAAGAAAAGGTTACATTTTACTTAATTTGTAGAGATAAAAGTTTCAATATAGGACCAGCTAGAGATAAGTCTGGTCATTTAAAATTTGGTGATTACTGTAACCATCTCTAATTAGTCATTTTTAAGGCAAAAGGTATGTTGGTAGTCAGCTGGGCTCATAGATCTAGGACAAATTATAGATCCAGAGTTTCAAACTAAGTTGAGTTTGTACTTAGTACTTTCCAAGACAGAATGACATTAAACACTTTATGTGACTGAATTGAAACTAAAAAGCTAGACTAATCTTTAGGTGTCCTCCATCAGCAAAACATTTTGCATTCTTAATGTAAGTCATAGTCTTAACTATTGCTTTAATTTGCAGGATGAGTCTGAATGTACTTCAGATGAGGAAATCTTTATCTCACAAGATGAAATACAGTCATTTATGGCTAATAACCAGTCTTTCTACAGCAATAGAGAACAATACCGACAGCATCTGAAGGAGAAATTTAATAAATACTGCCGCTTAAATGATCACAAGAGGCCCATGTGTAGTGGCTGGTTGACAACGGCTGGAGCAAATTAAATAAATAAAATAGCTCTGTCTTTCAATGAAACACTCAAGATGACTACTGCGCCTTCTCTTTCAAAAAAAAACCTCTTAATTTAGTGACTTACGGCAAAATTTTATCTTAAATCAATGTGATTCTTTCTTGTTTTGGGAGACGGTGGAGGTAACCTCATTAGTTTGTTCTTCCTTCAGGCTTGTGTCTTTAGTTGCGTGGCTGCGCAGGCCTGCCATATGATTTAAGCCATCTCTTTTCATTAAATGTTTCTCTTCCTGTGAGACTTACTAAAGCAACTTAGTGGCAAAAGTAATGTTGTACTTATACTTCTGTACAGAAATGACAATGAGCTGAATATATGGTTTTACAAAGTAGACATCCACCTGCGAAATGTTTGGATGTAATGTTAAAGCGCAATGTGCAAAATTTAAAATAAAGAATATTTATTAATATGCATAGTAAAATTTGGTGTACATGTTTCTACTTAATGTGTGGCAGTGTTTTAATATTTGCCACTTGTGGACTTGGTACTTGGCCAGTATTGATGTTAGAGAGGATGAAGAGCAAATGAGGATAGAGATACAGATCGTTGAAGACAAAATTCTTAACCTTGATCAGAATTGACAACCGAGAAAAGCAATTTCCAGTCTTCTGTTTGGCTAGAATAAATTTACTGTGATACCTTTAAATACTGGCTAGCATCTTACATTCCCATGAGACCTAATTGCTATTATTGAAAGTTCCCTGCTGCATAACACAAAGCACCTTAAATTTAGAGGTTCATGTTGAATTAGAAGAATGAAAACAAAACCTGGCAGAATTTCAAGCAAGGGTTGTCTGATAAGTAATTGCTCAGTGGGTAGAACTGGGATCAGAAGGCTGCACTGAGAGCTAACCACATTTTGGTCTGTGTAAGTGCATATTCCTTATCTGGTTTCCAATAAAGTCACTATGGCATTACACTTTACTGCTTTCACAAGCTGTCTGTGAGTTACTGAAGGAGAGATTCCCCCAGGAGTAGCATTTGGCTGCCATTTAAAAGGTTGAGTCAATAGTTCAATAAACATATGTGTTTAGAGCTTTGTGTCTGCATGTTGATTAAATACTTGGTGGGCAGCAGACAGATTGCAGGACAGTCAGTATTCTCTGTGCAGATAGAGTGAGTTTTGTGGGCTTTCCACAGCTTAATCAGATTTCTCATCAGATTTCAAGTGTGGGAACAACAGAAGCTTAGTGAGATTTAATTTTTTTTTATAGTTGGTGGCATTTCTTTGATCTACCCCCTGGCCAGAAGAGTTGTCTTTTCAAATCTAAGTGTATAGGGTTTGGGGCAGAGGCGAAATGAGTCATGATTCCTCTCTGACCCTTGTTGGCTTTCATCCTGGAATCCAGAAAAAATGAATAAGGGCCTCCCACAGCCCTTGGCTCTGGGCCCAGTCACCTCTCCACTACCTGTTGCAGTCAAGTTTTCTCTGGAGATCCCTAAAAGCAAGGGCTGGTTTTGTTTTGTTTTACTCTGCCTTTGGGGCCAAACACAGGAATCCTTGTTGAATAAATAAGCCAGCCCCATTCGCTGCTTATTTCATTGCTTTCAGTGGAGCAATTCCAGTGGTTAATGCAGAGATGGTTTTTCTTTGGAAGGATGGCTATGTTAGGAATGCAGAAGTGAGGCAGGTTTCAGTGCTTCGATGAAGTATATCCTAAGTGATCAGAGAGCAAAGTGAGCAAGCCCCATAACCCAGGAAGAGACAAAAGGGAGAGTGGAGTGAAGGCAGATGAGGAACACATCTTGTGGTCTGAAACTGGACAGAGGTCTAAACCATGCTTTCACCCCTTAGTATAGTCATCTATAAAATGAATTAATAGGTATTTCATAGGGCTGTTGTGCATATATTAGTTAATATATTTAAAGTGCTTAAAAGTACCTGTCGCATAGTCAGGGCTCAACGTTATCTAATGCTTTCATCATTGGAATTCATCATGATATTGCTCTAATGAGAGTGAGAGGGTCTAGGACTCTTGGAGACAGGCCATTGGGATAGAATTCCCCAATATACAAGTACTTGTGGTGTTTCCATTTTTAACTATCAGTTCTAGGTTAGTAGAGTTGAGAGCCCCTCCCAAGGTCACCCAGAGTTGATGGCTGAGGCAGGCCGTTTTCTCTAGGCTGAATCCTTCCTATCATCCACCCTCTGGTTTAGGAGGACGTTGGAGTCACCTTAAGTGCCCTTAATTTCTCTTCCTGGCCTTAGGGGTCAGGAAGAGGTAAGGGCTACTTAGAGGCAAGAGTACGTGCATCCTCGGGCCTGGAGCAATACCCCGCTGAACCCCGTTTTCCCCGCCCCAAGAGGATAGAGCTCACCAGGGAAGCAGGACCACAAGGCCCACAAGCTTCCATGACCCTCCCACACCTGCCGGCGCTGCTGAAAGACAGTTCCCCGCGCCGGGGGCGGGGCGGGGCGGGGCGGAGCCGGAAGGAGCGGGGCCGAG